ACAGTTAGCACAGATTTCCCCATAGTGCTGGTCACTCTAGGAAATTATTGCTGAAAATGAAGTCCCAGAAAGCTAGCCTGGCAGTAGCCCTTCTGAGTGGCGAAAAATGTGGAAACTGAAAAATATGTCATATCCCTTTGGATTAGCTTGGTCTTTTGTGGTACATACTAATATTTTTACCAATCAACGGCAAACCACTATTTTTAGGTGGGTTACAAATTATGAAATATGTCAACTGAGACAACAGTTGTTGTTTTATTTACTTAAATGTTATATTACATATAATATTTAAATGGATACGGTACCAGTATAAATAAATAGGATATCTTCTTGCTGTAGAGATTGAGGGAAGGCTGGACTGCTTTCATTCATGTGAGTTATCAAATATATTAAATACATTTCTAAAATGCTGACACCTTGAAGATTTCATGGGTACATTTTAAATTCAATTAAAATATATTTTCTATCCATATTTGATTTAAATTGCAAAGAGAATACACATGAGAAGGTCTCCATATAGGTTGCAAAATATAATTTAAGAAAGCTATCATGTCTACTGATCTATTTGCATTTCCCATCTAGCCTATGTATACATGGGCATGCAAATGTGAAAGAGATCCAAGAAGATTCCTAATGGGGTAAAGCTAATAGCTGGTAGCAGTGTTTCAGATGGATAGATATTTTAAAATAATATATTATAAGCTAGTTAAATTAAATATAATTTAATATTTTAATATATAAGGTTATAGAAATTTAGTAATAAACTAATACACATCAGTTTAATTAAATCACCAGTGATCAAAATTATATTCTCATATAGCTTTCATAGACTATGTCTATATATTTTATATTAGAATTGTCTTTTTTGTATAATACTTCATATTTTTCTCATTATAATTGATGCATGTTTTTCTTAAGAAATCACATTTTAAATCATCTTAAAAATTACTATCCATGTAAAACTTATTATCCACTTAAAGCTATTGTGAGTATGTATATATTCTCTTATTAATATTCATTTGTATTGTCAGTCTATATATTCACCATGTTCTACATCAAGAATTATAGTGAGAGAATATTGTTCTCTTTTTTAAGTACTGTTGAGTCAGTTCTGACTCATAGCAACACTGTGTAGGGTTTCTGAGGCTTTAAAACCTCGAAGGAGCAGAAAGCTTCATCTTTCTCCCATGGAGTGACTGGCAGGCTTGAACTGTGCACCTTGTGGTTCTTGGTCCAGTGTTTATTGTGTTGAGCAACTATGCTTTCCGAGAGAATACTAGCAAATATTTAAATTGGTTTTTACAACTGCCTTTAACAGTTTTCAGTACTGTGAAATTGTATTTCAATGAAACAGGCACAATTTTTTTCCCCAAAGTAGAGCCAGTTCAAAAATAGTTTTGAATTTTTAAACACATTTACATTAATTAAATTATATATCTAACAAAAATCATTTCCTAACTATAAAATAGGGAAAGTTGAGTTAGAGGTGGCTCAGCTGGGTCAGTAACAATGTAGCTCTAGAAAATCACAATGTATTTAAAGGCAAGTTGAGGCCATATGCTAAGAAAGATAAAGAAGTATGATCTATACACTTCTTTGAAATTAGTAGATATGATATTGAAATAAATCTCAAGCTTTTTTACTAAGGTATTTTTGACTAAAGTGTAGGTTTCCTTTCTGAACTATGTATGCATTGTTATTATAGATAGTCCTTTGTTGTTGTTGTTAAGTTCTATTGAGTCATTTCATATCAACCCTGTGTAGAGTTTCCTAGGAGTGGCTGGTGGGTTTGAACCACCGACCTTGTGATTCAAGCCAACCTTGTAGTCTAGTGTATTATCCTGCAGCACCATGCCATAACGCCACATTTAGCATTCATTTATTGAGTGTCCTGGTGTGGCGCTGTAGGATCAGCAGTGGCCTGTGGACCACACATTCAGCAGTTCAAATCTACCAGCTACTCCTCGGAAACCCTAAACAGGGTCCCTATGAGTCAGAACTGATTCGATGACACTAAACAGCAACAACTATGTGTCAAGCACTCAGCAACCCATGGATACAAAATACTTAGGAGGCCATCCCAGTGCTTCCTCTGTATGCTTGGATAAGATTGGCACACATAAAGATAGTTGAAAAAACGTGGTAGGTGCTGTGATCAATATATCCCAGGATATTAAGGAAGTATTAGAGATATGAAGGAGTCCTGGTGTGGCACTGTGAGTTAATGTGCTGGACTGCAAGGTTGGTTTGAACCCAAGGTCTGTGGTTCAAGCTTACCAGCTACTCCTCGAAACCGGTATACAGGATGGCTCTGAGTTGGAACTGACTCAGCAGTATTTAACAACAACAAAGAGAGGAAAGCAAATCCAGCCTGGGTAGATTAGAAGATAGGGTTAAGCTAGAAATTTAACATTTTCTAGAATAATTTTTCAAAGACAACTATCCTAATTAATTTTAATATTTTAGAATTTGAAATGCCTTGAGATCAATAAAGCAACCAGGAAATTTGGGGGATATGATGGTGGCATAAAAGAAAAAGTACCATTTTAGAAAGATGAGAGAGTGGACTAAGGGGTACATTCTAACATTCTCTCCTTCTTTTTCTTTCTTTTTTTTGCTTAAAACAACAGAAATTTATTGTCTCAGTTCTGAAGGCTAAAAGTCCTAATTCAGGGTATGGGTATGGCCAAATTCTCTCTGAAAGCTCAAATGGACCATTCTTTCTTGTCTCTCCCATCTTCTGCTAGTTTAGGAATTCTCGGTTTGTGGCGGCATGACTACAATTTCTGCCTCTGTCGCTACGTGGCCCTCTTCCCTGTGTCTCTATCTGTGTCTTTGTCTGAATCTCTTGTTTTTTTGTTTGTTTGTTTTTATAACAACAACATCGTATTAGATTTGAGTCTATCCCACACAATGTGACTTCTTCTGCAGACATCCTATTTACAAATAAGATTACATTCACAGCCACCAGGTACTTCAACATACCTTTTTAGGGATACACAGTTCAAATAATTATACCATCAATTCCAGATAGAGCTACATTGCCTTCCTTTGTGAGTATCCACATCTCCTTTTGCAAGTGCTTCTAGATTAAGACAAATGATTAGGGTAAATAAGGCTAGGGACGTGGCAATTTTAAGTGGTAGCAATGGGGGAAAAATGTGTTGAACTTTACAAATGTAAAAAGCCATGAAGAGGACAAATGATTTTGAATGGTTGACTACTCTGTGGTGTGCAAATCTCACTAGTGTTGTGGCCTCCATATATACCTATCTACTGTTTAGCTGGAGGTATGACACTGTGGGCTAATGCATCAGACTGCAAAGTCGTTTGAATTGCAAGGTCGGTGGTTCAAGCTCACCAGCTGCTCCTTGGAAACCTTATACAGGGTCGCTGTGCATTGGAATTGATACGATGGCACATAAAATAATAACAACTGCTTAGCTGAAGATACAGTCACCATGATGAGTTCAGTTACAGATCAGAAGGGTGATCCAGGGGGTCGTAGTCTCAGGTTCCTCCTGTCTTTTTCTGACCTGTAAGCCTGGTTGATGGGTACATTCTTTGTATTACTCGAGAGGATCTAGAGAGCAACTAAACAAGCCATATCATTTAAAATGATTCTCTGCCTTTTAAATATGTACCTATGTGTATGAGTGTTGATGTTGTTAAGTGCCATCCAATAGGTTCTGACTCATAATGACCTTTGATAGGGGTTCCAAGGGGCAGCTGGTGGGTTTGAACCACTAACCTGTGGCTAGTAGCCCTGTGTGTATCCAATGGTGCCACACCAGGGCTCCAAAAGTATCAAAATTCAGTTCCAGTCAGTATTTGTATTTCCAAACACTATTGTATTTTCAGAAAATAGACAACCGATAAACCTGAATTTAATATTTATCATTTTGAAGCTCTGTGCCAGGTACTGTGCTAGGTAAATCTTGACTGAATTTTGATGCAGACAATGAAGTCAAGGTCAAGGATAGCAAAGCAAGAGAAATATCACACCTAAATATATGACTGTTGTTCTTGTTAACTGCTGTTGAGTCGGCTCCGACTCATAGCGACCCTGTATAGGGTTTCTGAGGAGTGGCTGGTGAGCTAGAACCGCCAACCTTGCAGATCAAACTGACTTTGCAGTCCAGTGCATTAACCCACAGTGCCATACCAGGACTCCAAATACATGACTACTGCTTACAAAATTTAATATGATGCTTTGAATAATACATACTATATATAACATTTTGATTATTATTCCAAAGTCTAGAATTTAAAATCACTTTGTAACAGGGTAGGTAATGAATGCTCATTCAAACAATTAATTATTTATTGGGTTAGTATTTTGATCCCCAAATACTTACAGATTTGAGTTTGTGTGAGTGGATTATGACTTTTGAAAATTGTTAAATATGTGTGACACTGTGGATTAACGTACTGGACTGCAAAGTCAGTTTGAACTGCAAGGCCAGTGGTTCAAGCTCACCAGACACTTGTTGGAAACCCTATGCAGGGTCAATATGGGTCAGAACTGACTTGATGGCACTGAACTGTTGTTGTTAAGTGCCACCAAATCAGTTCCAACGCTGAGCCTGCGCAGGGTTTCAAAGGCTGTCAGTATTGATGGCGGATCCAGTTGTGGTATGGTGGGATAACAACAACATGGCTAAAATGCAAAATGGATGGATTTAAGGTCCTTCTGTTATTGTTTTTCTTAAATATAATTATATTAACTATGCCATGGGAGACAGAAACTATATCTCAGTTGTTCTTCACATGTTTAGTCTTCAACCCTGAAAGATCCTGAAGTTGCTAGTCTGGAGTGGAGTCAATGTATAATTATTTGGTAAAATCCTCTTCATGAGTGTGACATCCACCACTGGTTGAGAACCAAATTTGTAGTTTACCACATTCCTTAAACATGAAAAATGTCATGATCCAGTTTTATGTAACTTTTATTTCATACGAAAACTCAAAGTGAAAACTGAAATTGCTTTCTTCTTTAGATTCCAGGTGTTTATAACTCTCCATTCAGAAGAGAGCCTGACCCATGGGAGTTGCAGTTACAAAAGGCAAAGCCTTTAACTCACCGAAAACCCAACATTAAGCAGAAATGCTCCATAAACCTTAGCAGTTGGCTAGAGTGTACAAGATCCCGGTCTTTTCCTCAATCTGAAATTCTGCCACCCATCAACAGAAAACAATGTCAGGTACTAATTAGTCTTATCTAAGAATTCTGGCAATGCTACTTTTTTTTTTTTTCTCCCCAAGTCAATTGTTCTGTTTTGTATCTTCAACAAAAATTATTTTTATGGAATCTAATTTTATACAATAAATATAAGATGCTTTAAAAATATATACCAAGGAAGTATTCAAATGCCTCATTAGTTTTGAACTTTATTGTATTGAACATCAAGTTAAAATGTGCATCATTGGCTAGGATCTAGATATTAATAAAGTAAAAATATTGTGATAGCAGTATTTGTTATGACAAGTTGTTGTTGGAAATATCTTCATGTCTTTATTATCAAATGTATTTAATTAAAGCACTCATCTAATGATGCTTGCTTTTATCCCTTAAAAAAAAAATCAGTTGCCAATGAGTAGATTTTAATTTATGGAAGCCCATGTGGAATTGTTCCCCATAGTGTTTTAACTGGCTGCTTTTCTGGAAGTAAATTGGCAGACCTTTCTTTTGCGACACCTCTGAATGAACTTGAGCCTCCAACATTTTGGAATCAGGTGAACTGTCTTCACTGGGAACTTCATGAACTACCTTCCACACCTTCAGCCACTTACAAACCTGAATTCTATGCCTTAAAAATATTTTCTTACTTACTGTTAATATTTGTTGCATGGTATTTACACTTTTTGTAACAGGGTCCTTATTTCTCTTTA